TGCCTGCCTAAGAGCGCCGGGGGCGCAGGGCTAGCGCCGCTTGCGCCATCTTGCACCCACAGCGGCGATCTGTCAGCCTCGCCCGAGGTGCGCGCTCCGCACTTGCACCGCCCGCCGCCCGCCCCGCCCTCCTCCCCGCGCCCGCAGCCCCCCTTCCCTCTCCTCCCGGCCCCCTCCCCCAACCCCCTCTCCCCGGAGGCCCGGTCTGGGGAACAAAAGAGCCGGCGAGCGCTTTAAGCGGCCGGACATTCCCGGCTGTGCGGCGGACGCGCCCCCTGCGCTTTGAACTGCGGCTGGAGCGGCCCGCGCGGCCCGGACCTCAGCCCTGCACTCTTGCCAGCAGTGGCCAGCCTCGGACTTGGGGGTCTGGAGGAAAGGAGACCGCGGAGTGGGTTCAGATGGGCGGGGGTCGGGGTGACTGCGAAGCTGCCAGATTTGCTCAGACCCATTCTTTCTGTTTCGTCTCCCACTAGTAGGACCAATGTAGAGAAAATCCCCTACAAGCTGCACAAAGTTGTTAAGCTTTCCATTGGTTTCTGATCCTTCTACTCAAAGGATAGAACGTTTAACTGAGAGTTCCGCTAGACTGAGGAGTCCTGGCGCTTAGGTGCATAGGTGATGATGCGAGGCAGCTTCTACTGCCAGAGAGAGGGGACGTGCTAGGACTTAGAGGGCCCTGAGGTGACCTGGACTCTGATTGTGGTTCTGCCAGTTGTCTAGCCCTGCCAACCCAGGGAGTCTACCTTAGCTGCTCTGAAGAACGAAGATGATCGCATCTCAACTATGCAGCTCTGTCACCTTTAAATCAGAAAGGCCAGGACAAACGAGCTGGTGACTGGAAAAAAGACATTGGAAGTTAAAATTCTTAATTATTTCTATGCCACGAATATGTCTCAGTATTTCACGTCTGGATATATATAAAGAAACAACATAGGTCCCACCTAAGAACGCAGAAGACAAGCATGCCTCTTAGGAGATACAGGCTCAGGCCAGAGATGGGCTTGGCGAATCAAACACCAATGCCAACAAGTTCATTCTGACTCGTAATGTCCCGATAGGACACAGGAAACCCGATGATGTTTCCGAGGTTATAAATCTTGGCAGAAGCAAATGTCCCATCTTTCTCCCAGAGAGCCACGGGTGGGTTCCAACGCAAATCTTTGTGTCACCAGGACTTACTGTTAAATGAACGTCTGTTGAGTCTAAGATAATGGACTTGTTGCTGTTACTGCATGTGGTTGAGTCAGAACTAACCTATAGCTGACCCACCAGTGGCTTTTCAGAGCTGTAAATTGTAAGGGAGGAGAGTGCCCATCTTTATCCATGCTTGGAAAGGTCGGAGGGACAGCAGCAGGAGAGGAAAACCCTGAATGAAATGGATTGACACAGTAACTGGGGTAATGAGGTTAGGTGTGTCAGAGATGGTGAGATTGGCCCAAGATAGACCAGAGTTCAGAGCTATTGTGCATAGGGTCACTGTGAGTTGTAGTTGACTCAATGGCACATAACAACAACTCCTGTGGAGCAACTGGTGGATTCTGATTGTGTGCCTTTGAAATTGCAGTGCAGCTTCTTACCACTAGTCCTCCAGAGCTCCCAGATATGATGGGCTGGTCAACCAAACTGACTGAGCATCTGTCGATTCTAGAAGCTGGAGACTTGGAGATGGTAGTTTCTGTCTTACACGGCCATTCTCTTCTTTGGGGTGAGAGTGCTAGAACTGAGGGATGACCAAATGTCTCTTTTGATTCCAGTTTTGGAAACTTGGGGCCAAGCGTGTTAACCCTATGTTAGATCAGGTGTCCCAGTGGCACGAATGGTGAAATGCTCAGCTGGTAACTGTAAGGTTGGTGGTTTGAAAAAGCCCTGACTATGTGCTTTAGTAAAGATTACAGCCTAAGATATCCTCGGGAGGGCAGATCTATTCTGTCCACATACAGGAGGCCGCTATGAGTCAGAAGAAACTCTCTCTCATCGCTACAGAGTCAGAATCAGCTTACAGTCAGTGGGTTTTCAAGGTTGTAAGTTGTACAGGAGGAGATTGCCCATCTTTGCCCAGTGGAACAGCTAGCAGACTTGAACCACTTGCTGTTATGGGCTGTCCAGCCAGAACTGATTCATAGCTGACTCTCCAGTGAATTTTCAAAAGCAGTTAATCACAAGGGAGGAGAACTGCCCATCCTGTCCCCATAAAGCAGATGGTGGATGCGAACCATGTGCCTTTGGAATTGCAGCACAGCTTCTTACCATTAGGCCACCGGAGTACCACATCAGAATCAACCCAAGGGCCCCTAACAATAAGACTCCTTTTGCTAATGAGTCAATAAAATGCAGATCTCCAGAAATCAGACTGTAATCGATAGACAGATGTGTTTACTAATGATAGGGTTTGCATAGCTTTGAGATTCCCTTACTCTGCTCCAGCAGTTGAAAGATGAACCTGAGAGGCAGGGCTGGAGGCATGTTAGTAGTGAGAGGCATTTGCAGAAATCCAGGGTCAGGGGATACAGCATGCTAAAGCCCCCAGTGGAAGGGCACAAATGAGGGGCCTCTATTGGTCATCAATACTGAGAGGGAAGGAGGGAAAGAGGAAACTCCTTCTGGAGAAAAAGCTATGAGACTTTTTCCTGTAGGCCCTGGAATCCCAACCACCCCTTCCTGGTTTGTCCTTTGGAGAGGTCAAATTGGTGTCCTGCATTGCTGTCATTTTAAATTCATTTTGACAAGTGTTTAATTCTTCTTTATCACAGCCTTTGGTCTGAGAGTGATATGCAAATAATGGCTATTCTGCCACATGCAAAACGTGCAATATCTCCCTCTATGATCTGTCAATTAACTTGGAGTCTGGTCTACCAACCACTTTCGGGGTGGTCCCAGGCAAGGCAGCCCCTGGCTGTCTGTTTCCTCCAGGAGAAAGAGGTGTTTGGGCTCTCTAAAGATTCTATCCAAGATCAGTTGTCAACCATGTTTCTGAGATGTGTGTGTGTGGCTGAGTGTGGACTTTTGTACATGAGGCTGTGTGCGTGGTTGAGTGTTTGTGAAGGTGAATGTGAACATGTGGGTCTGTGAGCTTGTAGGTGAGCTGTCTACACCTCTGAAGGTGCGTCCATCAGCAGTTTCGGTGCTGGGCCTTTTATACAGGAATGGTTGTGGAGCTCAAGTCTTTAAAGTTGTTCACTCCTCCTTTGCACCCCAGAGAGTTAGGAAAATGTGATGGAAAGAGATCTCCAGAGAGCCTAACAGAAACATCATCAAAGGATTCATTCTTTCTTTCTCCTGAGTACCCATGAAAAGAGGAAGATCCTTGAATTAATTCTTTCTCCATTCTGAGAATTCCTAAAGAGAAGCACACATTTTTGGAAAATAGTTTATTAATTCATTATAGGGACAGATACATGATCAACACCTTGGCTTAACACTAAAGAATATCATATTTGTAAGGGGAAAAATAAATGCTGGAGAAATAATTAAATAATGCAGCATAAACTAAATACAGACAAATAAATGAGCAGGTACTGATTACACTTGTCATGCATCAAGAAGAGGAAGATTTTAAGATGAGACTTTAAAAAAAATTAAGGCATCAATGGAAGGCGGCAAAGGGACTATTGCCCTGCAAAAGGCCCATAGACGCATTTCTAATAAGAATACTGCTACAAAGACACAATCCTATTACTTTCAAAATAACCCAGAGCCTAAATCATAGATGGTGGCTAGTGAGTAATGGTCACTTTCTTCTCTAGTGTGACATACTGGCAGAAGCCAGGTTTATGACTTAGTTGCTTTTGAGAAACAATTTTCCACCCAATGGAAAACAAAACCAGCCTCCTTGACAAGAAGTCAATTCTGCCTCACAGCTCCTGTAGGACAGAAAACTGTCCCATGGTGTCCCCAAGGCTGGCTGTCTGTTGTTACCAAAGCAGACGGTCACAGCTTCCCCCTGGAATGCACCTGGTGAGTCCTAACTGCAGTTTTTGTTGGTTGGCAACCAAGTGCTTTAACAATGGCACCACCAGAGTGCCAATCCACCAAACCTAATGGGTTATAAATCGTCTCATTTGCAGCTATTTCATTTAAACCAGAGCCTCAGTGCCTGTTAAACAAGAACATGAAAAATGACTATGTAGTGTAATGCTAAGAGCCCACTGTTAAAACAGTCATTTAACTCAGGGCAGGCCTTTCCCTCCTCCCTCTTCTCTGGAAAAAAAGAAAAGAAAGAATCAAATCAGCAAAATAAAATGAGGCTTTTGACCTTCAGAGCAATGATGAAACATATATAGCAGTGCTAGCTACAGCAATGCTGAAAGCCACAGAAATAGTACAAGTGAGAATTCTGTCCTTAACGAGATACAAAACCAACATTAATAATCTTTAGTGTTATCGTAGGCTGGCTGGAGGAGGGGGTGGAGGGGGAAATGTAGGTGCGGATGTCAAACGTGAGTGACATCCGGGTGTAATAAACACAGATGCTTTCAGGATTGGAGGAAGCTGCAACTCTGCTGAGAGATATTTCACCATTAAAAACAGAAGGAGGAAAGGGAAGGGGGGGAAACAACTGGTTATTTCCAATTTGGCCTCAAGACAGAATTAACCCTTGATGTGCTGGTCAGTTTAAAGCAATGAGAGAGAATGGACCCCGTGTTCTATGTGCCTATCAAAGAGGCTGATGGGAAAAAGAAAATAAAAAAATCAAACTGACATTGCTTTCTCCTCATAGGAAATTAATATCAAGCAGACTATGTGTGGTAAGTCAACAGAAGACGACCTCAGGATTGAATTTAGAGAGAGATAAAAACCAAAACACAAACCAAAAGAGTCACCCACCCTTTCCTGTGTAAAGCCCACCCTTGCAGCACCCCAGGGCAGGAGTATACAAAGTGAATGTACCCCTCATTACAATGATGAGATTCCTCTTACCACCATACTCCAATCAACTCATGTTCAAAATATGTAAGAAAGAGATGGGGTGCCGCTCCCCTAATCTCAGTCAGCTTCCCTTCACTGCCATTAGCTGGAAAGAAACGTCCAAAACCACTTCCTTTGAACAATCCCAGCTCCCTGCAAAGAACAGCCCCGCTCTAAGCAAACCTACTCCCTGCTGTCAGTCAAGTCCTAGGAACTAGCAGGACGGATAACTTCCCATAGGGTTTCCAATGCTATAAATCTCTGTAAGTCTTTACACAAGCTGACTGACACATCTTTCTCATTGAGAGTTAGCAAGCAAATGCTTTAACTACAGTGCCACCAGACTATCCTTACAACAAAGGGAGGAAGTCTTTTTATCCTGAGTCTGTGCTGGTGGGATGGGAATGCCACACCCCTTCTCAAAAATCCCCTTCAGTGACTTGAATTTATCACCCTTACGGAGAATCCTCTTATCCCAATCCTAAGGTAGAAGATTCCAAGGAAGCTGGAAGGTTTTCTCCCCAGAGACCCAGAGGCTGGTGGGGTAATGGGAAGGTGGGGGGAGTGTGGAAACAGTTGCCAGGAGAGGGAGAATGGAGAGGTGCTGAGAAAAGTGGGGGTGGGCAAGAGGACAGTGGGGGGTGGGAACACAGGAGTCATCACGTTATGGCCTTGAACAGACATGAGGTAGTCATGTTGTTAGGGAACACACAGAACCCAGGCAGGAGACCCGATGAGACGGTCTGGAAGAGGCATGAGAGACAGAGGTACAGCCAGCAGAAAGAGAGAGGCAAAGGGCCAGAGAAAGGCAGGCAAGAGGAACGTAAAGGGGAAGCTAGGATTTGGGAAGCAAGTCGATCAGAGAACAGAGCAGACAGAGCAGCAAGGGAGAAAGGAGGAGAGGGAGAGGCAGGCTAGCAGGTTTTCAAAACCAGGCACTTTGCACTTCACACATCACAAGAGGAAACACAGAGTCGCTCTGAGGGGTGCCAGGGTCACCCTCTCTCAATTTGGGCAACAGGGATATGGGAGGTGCAGGTAAAATGCTAGGCATTCAGAGCCCATATGCACTCAGCCCAGCCAGCCAGGAAAATGGGCTGGGGTTGTCTTTGTCAGACAGGGCACTGGACACTCTCAGAGTGTGTAATAAAAGTCTGGGCATGGAGGTGGGGCCACCGGGCTGAACGCATAGTCCTGACCTGGAGGCGAAATTAGGCTGAGTGAGCATGACCTGGGCCAAGGTTACCCAGCTCACCAGCCAGCACACATATATATGCATGTACGTCACTGTCTCTCACATATCACATATGTGCTGCAAAGAATATTGGAGGAGTGAGTAATCCACTTCTTCAGAGTTCCCCACCTCTGCCCTGGAAGGCTTCAAGTGGCTTGCTGATAATCTTCAGGTACACATGTGACACATATGGCCACTCATGTCATCTCCTGTGAACCACACCAGCCTGCTCCAAACTGAACCTTCAAGGGAAGCTAAGCAGAGGAGGAGACTGGGACTTGGGGCAAGGCTGGGCTGGCTGCAAGAGGGCAGGAGACCTTTGTCTGGCTGCTGTCCCCAGGGGCCTCCTCCAGAGTCTCGGTGGGTGGGAGGTCTGGGTAGAGGCAGGAAGCAGTGGCTGCCTCTGGCAGGCAGGAAAGTCTGTCTGTTGCCTGTTCGCATCCTCCCAGCTCTTGGTCTAGCCAGTCTGCCTCTTGCTGTAGATCCACAACACCTGGGTTGAGGTTTGAAGCATCTGAAGGCAAAGATTCCAAGTCTTGGAGATGGAGATCAGGTTTTCCTTTGGATGCACTGAAGTCGGAGTGAACAATGACTTCAGCTTCCACCTGGTTCCGGCAGGCTGGAGGTGGCTTCTTCTTCCCATTGCCCTGGCCAAAGTGGAAAATACAATGACAAAGGGACTGTCACTGGTGCCACCATACTAACCCAGGACAAACACAAGAGTCCCACAAATTGGCCTACCTACCACTCAGTCAAAGAAAGGAATCTAAGAATCTATTGTCTAGTCACTTATCCCCAGAAGTCTCTAGAGGATTCACTTCGTGAGAAGCATGGGAACACTATCCACCCTCTAAGCTCCTCACCAAACCAAAACCCCAAACTCAGTGCTATCAAGTCAATTCTGACTCACAGCAACCCCTTAGGACAGAGCAAAGCTATCCCCTAATGTTACCAAGGCTGTAAAATTTTCTTTTTTTTTTTGTTTTTTAAAGAAAGTTATCATTTGAATGAAAGTCATAAAACAGATTCATTTTTCAAGCATTCACACACATTTGTTCTATAACATTAATTTCTGTACCCACAATAAAACGACGCTTTCCCCACTTTGTCCCTATAATGCTAATCCTTCTATGATTACAGTGTGCCGCGTACCCCTTTATTTTATACTTTTGTTCTCTTAACCCATCTTAGTATGTGTCTAATATCTATTTGAGTGGCTTAGTGAGTGACAAGGCAGCTCTGGTGGCCTAGTGGTAAGAAGGTGCACTACAATCACAAAGGCATGTGGTTTGAATCCACCAGATACACTGTGGGAGAAGGACGAGGAAACTCCTCCTGTGTGATTTACAGCCTATAAAAGCCCACTGGAGGGTCAGCTATGAGTCAGTTCTGACTCAATGACACACAACAACAACAAGTGAGTAAGGAGTTGTGCTGCTAATCCAAAGTCAGGCAATTCGAATCCACCAGCTGCTCCAATTGGAAAAAGATAGGCAATCTCCTGTGCAATTTACAGCCTCTGAAAACTGACTGGAGGGTCAGCTATGAGTCAGTTTCAACTTGAAGACATATAACAACAGCAACATTACCTATCTACCAATTTTTATTTCTCTCTTTTCTCCTTCTCATCCCTGGAAATCACCCAAGAATGATTCTATCTATAAGCCTTTCTTTAGCTTTTTCTAATTTGTCCTTTTGTGACTGGCTTATTTGACTCATTATTGTCCTCTAGATTCACCCATATTATGCAATCTTTCTTCTTTTTTTTTTTTTGCAATGTTTTTTAAATCCTTTACTGTTGTTCAAATCCACGAGCTACTCTGTGGGAGAAGGATGGGCAATGTCCTCCTGTGAGATTAAATGCCTCTGAAAACCCCCTGGAGGGTCACCCATGGGTCAGTTCTGACTTGATGGTACCCAACAACTATTTTTTAGTGTTGTGCAGTACCCCATTACAGAAGCAGATTGTCACATCGCCCAAGAAGTGACAAGTGGGTTTAAACTGCAGACTTTTTTTTTTTATAAACTGCAGACTTTTGAGTTGGCAGATGATTGCTTTACATATTGTGCTACCAAGCATCCTCCTCTTTCCATTCCCAGGAAATAAAACAAACACAAAAGCCAGCTGTCAAACCACTGTAAAATAAAAAAAAAAAATTAAAAAAAAAGATGATACTGAAAGGGATTCTTGAAGAATGTTAGTAAAATATGCTTAATTAGTAAATATTGTGAAATACTGAGGGGGAAGTCAGCTGTCTTTGAGTAGATTCTAACTCAGAGCAACCCTACAGGGTTTTTAATGGCTGATTCTTTTTAAAAAAAAAACAAAAAAAAAAGCTTTTTTTTCCTCTGTCGCCGCCGAGTTGTCCGGAGGCCCGGGTGCGTTCAAGATTCCGCCCCACCCGTAACCCACCGCCATGGCCGAGGAAGGCATTGCTGCTGGAGGTGTAATGGACGTTAATACCGCTTTACAAGAGGTGCTAAAGACCGCCCTCATCCACGATGGCCTAGCACGTGGAATCCGCGAAGCTGCCAAAGCCTTAGACAAGCGCCAAGCCCATCTATGTGTGCTTGCATCCAGCTGTAATGAGCCTATGTATGTCGTTAGTAGAGGCCCTTTGTGCTGAACACCAAATCAACCTGATAAAGGTTGATGATAATAAGAAACTGGGGGAGTGGGTAGGCCTCTGCAAAATTGACCGAGAAGGAAAGCCCCGCAAAGTAGTAGGCTGCAGTTGTGTAGTTGTTAAGGACTATGGCAAAGAATCACAGGCCAAGGATGTCATTAAAGAGTATTTCAAATGCAAGAAATGAAACCAATAAAGAACTTGGCATATAAAAAAAAAAACAACCAACCAAACAACCCCAAAACTAGATTGCCAAGCCTTTCTTCTGCCCACCCAGGCACCATTTCCTTCCCCAGGACACTGACCTTTATGGCGTCATACACCAGAGCCTGCAGCAACAGCGTCTGCCCAGTTCCAGCCGGGGGCAGCAGGGCCCGGGTCAGAGAGGGCATAGGGCCCACCTGGGGAAGCTCACAGCCTGCCCAAGAGCCTGCCCAGGCAGGTCCACCCGGCTGACCCCATGAGATCTGGAGAGGGCAAGAAGGGGGGACATTAAGGGGAAGGACCAGCCTTGGCTGGGAAATGGGAAACATAGGGAGAGACACGAATGAGTGTGGAGAAGATGACAGTCCTGTCTCCTGGCCCTCCCCAACAAGTTCCCTACTAAATCCCATCCCCAAGGCCCTGGGGAGAGCAAAAAAATGTACTGAGAGCCAGCAAGGAATTGGCGGTAGAAAAGGCCTCCTGCTGAAAAGCCAGGTCCCAGGTGCTGCGTTAAAGCTTGGAGACTCCCAAGCAAGGCAAGGTCTTCTTCAGAGACACGGAGAGGGCGGGAGGAGGACTAGGGATCCCAGAGGGCAGACAGTGTGAGAGTGATGAATGTCGCTGTTCTCGCCTCAGTCTCATCCCACCACAGCAAGCTAACTAGCCTTTCCTCCCCATGTTGGAAGAGGCTGCACCAGGAGAGACCAGTGTCTTGCAGCCTCTAGAGGCACCTATAATCCGTTGGGGGTCCTCCCCTCCGTGAGAACCAGGCTGACCCAGTCTGCCAGGGGACAGCAGCCCATCTGCTTCTTGCCCTACCAGCCCTTCCAAGGAGGAGGGAGAAAGCCCCTCCATCTGGGCAGCTGGCCCAAGACTGGGAGGGGGCAGGGGCGGTGCTTCTCTCAGGCCACGAGCTGTGCTCTGGCGCCCCCTGGTGTCCTATTTGGGACTAAGCTACAGTTTGGGGCTCTAACCCAACTGGAAACCCACCCAGGGCTCAGGCTCACCTTTCTCTTGGAGTGACCCCTGCAGTCCGAAACGCTGCCACCCATAAGACTGTGCACTTCAGCCCTGTCCTCAATGTCTGAGGGCGGGGGGGACCAGTCCTGAGGACGGGGGTGCACAAGGGACTCCAGTTCATGGGCAGCTGGGGGGCTGGGGGGGCCAAGGCGGGCTCGGGAATACAGTGCTGAGTTTCCAGCAGTGGCCGTGGAGGACAGGCCCGGGAGGGCTTCCCTGGAAGGAAAAATGGGGAGAAAGGCACTGAGCGAGGGGGTGAGGTGGGCCAGGGACCTACTCCAATCTACAGCTCTGGGCAGGTCCCAGGCCCTCCCTGGGATTCCATGTCTATGCCATGCAAATAAATTCTGTGATTGTTCAAAACAGCCGTGTCACTATAAATGGGGTTCCCTCTCCCTTAGTTCTGGGCATCTAGAGATTTGGGGCCTGAATTTCCCAGATGCTACCAGCTTGCAGAGGAAAAGGGGGGCATGGCGGCTGAGCTAAGGTCTCCCCTAACCTCTATCCCAGAATCCTAACTATAATGGGGTCCCTGGGGTGCTGGAAAAAGGCACAACCACTTTCTAGCTCTCTCATCTTCCCAGCTCTTCCTGAAAGCCTGTCCCCTGTGGACAGACCACTCCCTTGCCCACCTGTGGGGGCTTCGGCGCAGACCGGCACACATGCAGGCCAGAAGGCAGAGGAGGCCCAGGCAGACGCCCACGATGATGCCCGTGACTGAGTGCACATCCAAGGAATCTGGCCGGGGAGATGTGGGGGACAGCATGTCAAGGACAGGGGCACAGTGAGTCAGTCCCCCTGGACACTCAGTCTTTCGACATAAGGCCTAATAATCCCTCCACCAACTGTCTTCTTTGAAGAACACTCAAAAGTTATGGCCTTTCAATGAAACACTATTTCCTGCCTTTGAAGAACATGCAGGCATGCAGGGTCCCAGGCTCAGAAAATCAGAAAATCCCTACACTTTGTTCAATGTTGTAGTGTCATCATCTTGAAATTCTTTGTAATATTTAGTAAAAAGACCCTGCATTTTCAGTTTGTACGGAACCCTGCAAATTATGTAACTGATTCTTTGCTTGTGTCCAGTCCATAAAGTCTGTCACACACTAAGCCAATCCTCTGGTCAAATCCATCTTCTAAAGAAATGGGAACTCCTCCAAGAAGGTCTCTAAACTGACCTCCCTATCCCCCAAGTACTCCCCATTCCCACAATTCACAGCAATCTTACAGGACAGAGAAGAACTGCCACTGGGGGCCCTAAGATGGCAATCTTGATGAAGCTGACTGACACGTTTCGTCCAGAGAGCAGACGGCAGGTTTGAAATGCCAACCTTTCTGTTAGCAGCCAAGTGACTTAACCACTGTGTCACTAGGGCTCCTATCCAAACCACTGTTGTTGTTGTTGTTGTTGTTGTTATGCACCATTGAGTCACTTGCGACTCATAGCAACCCTGTGTACAACAGCTCTGAACCCTGCCCTACCTTGAGCCAACCTCATTGTCTCTGACACACCTACCCCCATTATCCCAGTCACTGAGTCTATCCATCTCATCGAGGGTCTTCCTCTCTGGTGCTGTCCCTCCACCTTCCCAAGCATGACGAGACAATGAGGTCAGTTTAGAGACCTTCTTGGAGGAGTTCCTGTTAGAGTTGCTCTCTCCACACCAGTTTCCCCTTCTAAATTCACCTTCTCCCCATACCCAGGAGGATAGGTGCCCAGAACAATGAAAATACAGTTGTTCCTGGCAAGGGTGTGGAAGAGACTTCAGGGGTTGGAAGCATCCAAATCAACTCCAGGGGCCTCAAGGGACTCAGGATGCACACACACACGCCCCCCCACCCCACCCCACCCCGTTGCCTTTGTACCTGAGATCTTCTCCTGCAGAGTGATGACATCCTGCAGACCAGAGAAGGGCCCGGGCCCCACCTCTGTGCGCGCTCCCATCTTGAAGAAGTACCTAGTGTCGCTTTCCAGGCCGTGCACCTCAGCACTGAAGATGTTTCCTAAGAGTAAGGGCAGCACAGAGAGAAGGGTTGGCCAACCAGAGCAGAAGTTGGATGCAGGGATGGACAGGGCACAGGACTAAGAAAGGCTCCTGTCTTCCCAGCCCACCCTCGCCTCACTCAGGGAGTAGAATCTCCCTACTGGGCTCTTTGCAGAACCCCAGAGAAAGTGCTCCCTGCTAATCCAGTCTGGGGTGCAGAGGGGTTGGGTGAGTCCTCACCTTCCGTGGTGATCAGGGTCCACTGGTGCTCAGGCTGGGTGTGGTTGTTGCTGTACAGGATCAGGTACTCCACGATCTCACCGTTGGGCTCTGTGGGGGGGCACCAGTGCAGCCGCACAGTGGACGGTGTCAGGGGGCTCAGGCGCAGGTCTGATGGGGGTGTTGAGGGCCCTGAGGTGCAGGGGTGGAGATGAGAAAGGCAAGGTCACATGAGAACACAGCTCTTCTTCAAGCTACAAACCCTCAAGCCATATGCAAAATAAGATGTAGAATCTCTGGAAAAGAGCAGGAAAAAGGACTTCACTATCCTTTCTGTCTAAGAAACAATCTGGCACTCTGGTCAACCCAATCCTTGAAGCGCACAGCTCTTCAAACTTCCACATAAAAATATTCTAAGGTTCAAGGAGATGGCTCCAGTGTTCTTGGGACCGGGAGATAGGTCTCAGAAATTGGGATAAAAGTACATTTTAACGTTCACAGTGTATCTGTCATTATTCCATGTTGTTGTTGTTAAGTGCCTTTGAGTCACATACAACCACATCCACCTTGTGAACAACAGATCTGAACTCAGTCTTATCATGTACCATTCTATTGTCCCCAACACATTGAGTCCATTGCCACATTGTGTCAGTCCATCTCATTGAGAGTCTTCCTCTCCTTTGCTGACTCTCCACCTTTCCAAGCATGACGTCCCTTTCCAAGAAATAGCCTCTCCTAACAACAGGTCCAAAACGTGTGAGATGAAGCTTCACCACGTTTGCCTCCAAGGAGAACCGTCTGGTTGCACCCTCTCCAAGACATAGCTGTTTGGTTTGTTCTTTTGTCTGTCCATGAGGCATTCAGCACTCTTCTCCAACACCACAACTCAAATGCATCGATTCTTCTCCTGTCATCCTTAGTTACTATCCAGCTCTCAGATGTGTAACAGGTGATTGGAAAGACTGTGGATTGAATCAGGCAGTCTTTAAAGTTTAATACTAAATTTATGTTCAGCAAATCTTCAAGTAAAATTGGTCATACATGAAGATGTCCCATGTTGCTCTTGTCTACTCTGATCTCAGGCACAGGCTTCCTCAGAGTCATGGAAAGTACTCATTTAAGAGGTACCACTAAAGAAGGGTCTGATTTTATTTTATTTTATTTATTTTATTTTATTATTTTTATTTTATTCTTTGTGTGTGTGTGTGTACTGTCAAACTGGATCTGACTGGTACAAGAGGAGATTGCACCTCCTTCTCCAGCTGAGCATCTGGTGGATTCTAACTGCGTACCTCTGGGATTGCAGTGCAGCTTCTTGCTCTTAGGCCACGAGAACTCCCTAAGAAGGGTCTGTATTTTAAGAGAAAGTTAATCCTGGGAGGTGGGTAGGGGAGATGGATTGGGAGGAGAAAGGTGAGAACACAAAATGATTAATGAATAGGGAGGAAATACTGAACTTCAAAGGTGTGAGGGGCCCAGGTTCTAAGACCAACAGAGTCACAACATCATGCTCTCTGATCCTTTGAGAACCTTCACATCTCATGCTCCAGCCTCCTCTTCTGCAAAAGTCCCTTTCTACAACACAAACAGCTGAGCTGGGATCCAGTAACATAAACTCCCCTGTGAGGAAACATCAGATGTCCCTAAAGTCCCTGTCTTTGCATCTTTAACCCCAAATAACTGAGGTTATAGATTGATGAGAAATAATTTATTAACATACCCACTCCTCACTTACTGACGTGATTTGGTTGTTAGGTGAAAATCAGCATCATATGAAGGTGGAGGATGGCTGCATTAGCTCATAAAATAGAGGATGATTATATTACATAACAACCAAATCATGTCATTATATAACTGCCAGATCACAGCATCACATACTGACTAACACACTAGAATAAGGGCCCAGTCCAGCTGGCACATAACCCTGCCTACCAGTTAGTATTATTCTGGCCTCAACCTCAGCGTTAGTTACTACCAGATGTTTCTAATAGATAATTGTTGGGTAGTAGTAGATTTTTCCCTATTGTAAATGTGATAAGTCAGATAACAAGATATAAGTGAGAAAGAAGTATATATTTTTAAAAGCAAATTCATAAGAGTTGAGTGTCTTCTAAAAGTACACACCTTGCACAGGATACCTTTTTTCCCTATGTCAGGCCCAGGGACCGAGGACAAAGGTCATCTGTCACCTGGGAAGGTAAACTGTCTTGGGTCCAACAGAACCACAGAGCTTCTGCTGTGAGAAGAAAGCTCCAACTGCCCTGAAATGCTCTTTCTAGATGGTCCTATGAATCCAAGAGGCAGAATTGCAGCGTGAATAGTCCCATCTTCCCCTTTCAGAGATAAGGTCCCAGAGGTCCTGGCTGAGGAAGGGATCTGGACCTGAAGGAGAATCCAACACTCCTACCTCTCTGACTTGTCAGTGGTCTCTTGTCATAGTCTCTTAAAAGCCACTCACCTAAATTCCATGTCATTACATTTACACATAAATGTCTAGGACCAGAGCTAGAAGTGTTTGTTGTTGCTGTTACATGTCATTGAGTCACAGCTGAGCTTCCAGGAGGTTTTCAGATGCTGTAAATGGCATAGGACGAGAGTGCCCATCTTCTTCCTTTAGAACTACTGGTGTATTCGAACCGCCTATCTTTGGGTTGGCAGTGTAATTCCTTACCACTAGGCCACCAGAGTTCCCTAGTGCAAGGACTACCCTATATAAATGCAAAGCAAATGACCCATACTTAGAGATTTGAGGGATGTTTCAGAAAAGAAGGGTGCTGAGGGGACAAGAAGTTGGGCACAAGCTAGGTTGGTGGCCAGGGCGCCAGGGTCCACTCACGGTCAGGCAGGGTGGAGCGCTCCACCACAGAGCCAAAAGGCCCATCCATGTCCACACCATGGGACTGTACTGCAAACTCATATTTGGTGAATGGCTTCAGTCCGCCAATGAGAATGTCTTCACCAGAGCTGTGGAAGCAAGAAATGGTGACTAGTGCTTTCCACTCCGTCTCGTCCACATCCATGCCCTGATCCTGGAAAGTGGAGTTACTCCTTGGCATGGGAACCACTCACTCACAACCACTTGGGGAACCTGCAGCGAGGTCTGGATTATGTTTGCCCTCACAGAATCACTGCCCCATGTCTTAACCACAAAGTCAGGTCTCTCCTGCAGAAAACTTTTCTGGAACAATCTGAGTTCTTTCTCCCCCCAGAAACCATCTCTGATGCATCTTCCTCTTGCTTAGTCTTTGGCTGCAATGGTATCTTTCTATTGCTTTTTGTGAAATCTGTTCCCTTTGCTAAAACAGCAGCTCCTTCAGGGCTGGAGCTCTGTCTTCTCATCTGAATGGAGGTTCTCCCAGGGAGAAGTGGGCTATCTCATTCCCATCACTGGGAACCCCCTGAAATTGGAGAGGTGGGTCCACCTTGCATCTCATTCTCCAAGGCTAGGGGTAAGGCTCTATTTTGAGGGGACAGGATAGACAGACTAAATGGATGGACTCTCCTTTTCATCTGCTACCATCAGGCCTGACAGCTAGGAAGCGGATGCCATGCAGACGCTCGATGGGCCCCCAGTGTAACAGGTGGACAGTGAAGTGCTTCCTTCCCATCACCATCTGCCCTGTCCTCTACCTCTGTCTGTTCCTCTCCCACCTGGTATAATAGGTGACCAGGGAGGCATTCCTGAGTCCCCAAGGGCTGAAGCGCACTGTATAGTTGACAATCTTGACAGTGGTGAAGTCTGGCTTTTTCCACCGAAGCCAAATGGATGTGGAGCTGTTTGATTCCGCATGGACATGGGCAGGTGGCAAGGGTGGCCCTCTCTGGATGGGCATGTCTGGAAGGTAAACATCAGGGTGTGGGGACAGAGGGAAGACATTAACCTTTCCGCACGTACAGTGGTTAACAGCTCCTAAAGCTCTTTCCCTTACTTTTGATCTTGTGAGTGGGTGGTATCATTCCCATTTCACAGATGAGGAAACTGAAGTTCCCAAGAATTTATATGCTCTTTCCCCCTAAAGTCATACCTATAGCTGACCGTGGAACACTAATATGTTAAAATGTGATAAAAAGAATTAACAAATCATGGCAGCTATGAGCACAGACTCTGGAGCCAGACTACCTTGGTTCAAATTCCAGCTCTGCCACCTACTAGCTGTGCGACCTTGAACAAGTTACTTAATCTCTCTGTGCCCCCATTCCTACTCTGTAAAGTGGAGCTGGTAACAGTACCTACCTCATAAGGTTGTTATGAGGAGTAAATTAGTATTTGTAAAGTAAATACAAAAGTGTCTGGCATACAGAAAAGCTATGTGATAAGTATTTATTACATACACATAAAATAAACTCCCTGACAGCGGGTACCTTATTTGTGTTGTTCACCACTAAATTCTCAGAACAGAGCTGGCCCGTAGGAGACACTCAGTAAATATTTGCTGAATGAATGAACAAACTGGAATTAGAACCCAGGTGTCTTGGCTCCTGGTTAAATGTTCCTTCTATTAAGCCACATGGTTGAAAGTCAGTCTTGGGAGTCAGGAGTAAGGGAATGTCAGGAAAGCAACCATGAGCCTTGCTCTGCTGTGGAAACACCTGGGAGCCAGCCGGCCTGGTTCTAGTCTCGGCTCCCTAGGACCCTGGATGAGTCCCTTTACCTCTGAGGCTCTGTGCCCAGCAGGTCACATAAAGGATACACTCCCTGCTAATCATTCAGAGTTGAGTGATAATTGGGTAGATTCGGTGATAAAGGTGAATGAATGTGATTAAAACAACTGTTTTAAGGTCACGCTTGGAGTCAGGAGTCACTGCTCAACCATGAGGCTTCTTTCTGTCCAGACCTTCTGAATTAGCCCCAGCTCCTGGACAGTGCGTGTGGACTGTACGGTAGCCAGCCTAAAGGATATTGTACAGCCTGGAGGGTCACAAGGTCTGACAGGGGCTGTCTGGAGGAGTAAGAAGACCACAGGGGCCTAGGAGAACTGACTTGACGGCCAGGCAGAGGCTACGGAGCAGCCTCAGATGGAAGGGAAGAAAGCAGACATGACCTCTCTCCTGAGCCTTTCGGCCCCTTGTCCCCTTTCGGTCCTCACCTGGGGTGGGAGCCTTCTCAGTCTTGCCCTTCCATACGGCTGCGTAGCCGTCTTCGTGTTTGTTGAATGCCACGAGTTTCACCTCATACAGTCGGCCGGGAACTGGGGAAGGCCACAGAGGTCACTCACCAACTAGGGGGACCTCTGGGGGCCACTCCCACCCCCCAGAGTGACCTTCAAAACGTCACTACCTCATCTCTTCCCCCCTCCTCAGCCCTCCTCACCTAGCTGGGTCAGCTCGTACTGCTTCACTTTCTTCTTGAGCCTGACAGGCCCCACATCCCAAGCCTGGTCTCCACGGCCCCCTGGGGGGCTCTCACCATTGGCCTCCTCCTCAGGCCCCACCTCCCGCCAGTAGAGTTTGTAGCCAGAGATCTGGGCAGGGTGAGGGGGCGGCTGCCAGGACACAATCAAGGACTCCATCCTTGCCCGTACTTTCAGCTCTGCAGGGGCAAAGGGGACTTCGGACATGGCAGAGGGGTTGGGAAAAAAGGATAGAGATGATGGGAGGGCAAGGCAGGGGGTCGGGGATGGAGAGAGGGGAGGAAGCAAAAAAGCAGGAAGACATTCATTCAGTGGAAGCATTGCCCAGGGTTCTCCCAATTCCCTCACCATTCAGTCATTTCTGCGCCCCATGTGCCAGTGGCCAGCAGGTCACACTGAAGTCACGACACATAGGGCTGTTTAAGCTCAAAGCGCTGGGGATGCTGGGAGGTCTGCTGGGCAATGACAGAGAGCACCTGGGGCAAGTGGATAGTACCTGGTACAGAGGAGGGCTCCATAGAAATGGAATGAATAAATGTATGAGTACTGGTAGGCAAGGAGTCTCTGGCGTGGTGAGGCTGGAAGGAGCCAAAACAAAGAGCTAACCAATGCCAGACACTGCTTCTATGTACTTTCCTTGTCTTTCAACTTCATTCTCACAGCTCTATAAAAGAGCTAAAAGACTACAATGCCCATTTGCAGAAACCTGAGGCTTAGAAAAGTTAAGGAAGTTAAGTAACTTGCTCAAGGCTTTGGGTAGCAAGCACAGGTACTAGGTTTTGTATTCAGCTTCAGTTTGCATTTAATCCCTTTATTATTATGGTCTCTCAACAAAACCAGCAATCATAATAATGGCAGCAGCTACTTTTTAATGAGTGCCTATTAGGTTAATATTGGGATACTTTTGGTTAACTTTGCATTATTAATTTTTACTCTATCCTTTGAAGTAGATGAAGACTTTGTTGTGAGTTGTCTGCCAAAGGTCACACAACAGACAGAAGGGACATAAGCAAGCCACTAGCCTCTTTGGCCCCCACCCCTGCCTCCTTCACCTGGCAAAGTAGGGACCTATGGGAGGTCTCTGGAGGGGTGGGTGGGACACTGGGACATCCATACTCGCCCACACTGTTCTTCTTGTCCCCCAGTCCCATACCGTGGCTCTGGTTGTGCATACTGGGCATCCTGTGCTGCGTCCACTGGGAAGGAGCCCCATAGCCTGCGCCGGTGCCAGCTGAGATCCGTACTCGATACACCTTGTTGGGCTGAAGCGAGTTCAGTGTAAGCTGAGTCTCATTCCCTGGCACCTCAATGGAGAAAATCTGATCTGCTGGGATAGGAAAGGGGGCTGCTGGATGGCAGTTGAGCATCACAGCTCCTAGACTCCCCTCCTCCCTCACCCTCCCACATCCAGGATCCTCCATGCCCACTGCAGTCAGAGGCCCCCTCAGCACGGAGCACTCAGTGCCTGGATGGACACCACAGCTCCCAAGTCTAGACTCCCAGGTCTCTAACCCTGGGTGATACAGGTGGCTCAACCACTCTGAATTGTCAAGGACTCTCTCCCTCCTTACATACCAGGATGAAGGCACAGGGATTGGCTTTGAAGGCTACCAAATGCCACCTATCTCCTAAAGCTCTAACTACCACCCTGAGCCCCCTACTCTCACCCCAGGCCCCTGGTCACCTTTCTTTTCCTAACTCTCTATACCTTTCAGACATTGTACACAGATTACCTACATAGACATAGATCCTACACAGACTCAGAAGGCTCACATCTGCTCTGACATTTCCTCTCCAATGCCTCATTTTCTTCAATCTCACAAGCACAACATCCCACCCACTTCTACTTCTTGAGCTAGAAAGGATCCTGTGGATCAACTAAACTACTTGTCTCATTTCACATAAAGAAACTCAGGCAGGGCTTCAACAGAAAGTGCAACTGCAGAGGAGGCAGGACGTCTCTAGTCATTCCTGCAATCCCCACTCCCAGAGCACCCATCATTCCCAGGCGCACCTTTCCACCCCTCTGCTCAATTTCTTCTGACCACATCTCCACTCACCTTCCTTCCCCAGACCGTATTCTATCTTGTACTTCACCACATGCCCGTTGCTCAAACTGGGAGGCAAGGGCAGCCATGCCACCCTGATGTCCGACAGGTTGGGGCTGGACAGGGAGAGCTGGGGTGCCGCACTGGGGACTAAGACAGAGGACATCAATGTGAGTCTCAATGTGGAGAAAGAGGCTGGAGAGTGGGCAGACATCTGATCGAGTCACACAGCAAGTCAGAAGCAGGGCAACGGCTAGGACCTGAGGGAGCCTCTCTGAGGCCCAAACTGGAAGATGGAAGACTGGACCCCAGAGATCCTAAAAGTTCTGTCATGATGTGGTTGAGAAGAGGACATCCCTCCCAACATGAAGCTAAAGCAAGGTTTGGAGTGTTAGTATCACTGGTCCCTACCCTGATTAGTTTGAGTACATGGGTGTTGGGGTGAAGGACTATATTAATTAGGGAAAACAAGAAGGTTGTCAAATGCTAGCTGTGCTAGTGACTGGAGGCCAGTCACTCTCATTTTGGGGGCCTTTACCTCCACTAGAAAGAAAAATTTATTTTATTTCATTTTATGTGTGTGTACTGTCAAATCAGATGTGACCGGTATAGGAGGAGATTGTCCCTCCTTTTCCAGCAGAGCATCTGGTGGATTTGAACGGTGTGTGTCTGGCACTGCAGTGCAGCTTCTTGCCACTAGGCCATAAGAGTTCGCCTCTGCTTACTTTCTTAAGGGCACAAACTGTGACGTGTAACAGGTAAAAAGGACATTGGGCTACACCAGTAAAGAGAAACCAGAAGTGCCCCCCAGGGGATTTTCTGCCCCATACCCCACAGCTGCTAGCTACCGTCATCCAGCGTGTGGACCAGTGCCGGGGCTGAGGTGCGGCTGGCCCCCAGCTGGGAGTAGGCCACCACGTAGAACTCATAATCAGTGTTGGGCTCCAAGTCTCGAACTTGTAGCTCTGTGGTGTCATTGTTCACTGCAAACTGGTACTCCACATTGTCTATGCCTGTATTAGCAACAGATGGGACAAGGAGGATGTCAGAGGGTTATCCTGGGCACCAGCCAGCTGGAAGCTTCTAGGTATCTCTCAGATTGGCCTGATCTCTGGAGTAGATGATCCCAGATAATCCTCTGGCTTCTAGTCTCATTGTAGGAATTCTTCTGTTGTTTACAAAGTTCTTTTTGACTTCTAATCAAAGTTCTCCTACTGAAGTTAGAGAGCAAGTGTAGAAGGTGGCTTTTACAGACCCAAGGCATTTTTGCTTAGGAAAAGAAGCATCCATTCTCTCCTCTCTCATAAACACCCTGGGCTTAGGTTAAAATGTGGCCCACAATGATCCCCAGCACCAGGTCGAAGAACCTGTGACTCATCTGTGTATCCACCTGTGTCTCCCCTGGGCTCTCAGTCCATCCCAGTCCATCCCCAAGGTATCCACCAGACAAGCCTGACTCCCATTTTCCCTGGCAACGTACCCCGTGCCTTCTGGTAGTGGAGGGAGAAGCCGATGATCTGCTCACTGTGCAGCTCGGGGCGCTCCCAGGCCACCAGCACTGCAGAGCTGCTCAGCGGGGTGGCTGTGACCCGCGTGGGCGCGCTGGGCAGCCCCTCGCGTACCACCACCGCCAGGGGCGCAGCGGCGCACGCCGTGCCCGCGCTGTTCTCAGCCACGCACTGGTAGTAGCCGGCATCCTGCAGGCCGATCTGCGTGATAACCAGGCTGCCACCACCTCCCTGCACCTTGACGCGCCCGTTGGGTCGCAGGGGCGCCCCGTTGTGCAGCCAGCGCAGGGTGGGCCTCGGCTCCCCCGAAGCGCGGCACACGAAGCGCGCTGTGCTCGCCCGCGTCCGCGACAGTGCTTCGGGGGCCTGGGAGATGGACGGTGCCGCTGTGGACAGGAGGGAAGACGTGACCCAGCGCTCCAGCCCCCAGGAGCTCTGTCCACCTCCTGTACCCCAGTTCCCGTGGTTCACACGACCTGACTTTCACTCTCTCCTCCAATCCCTCTGACCTCTCTCCTTGATTCACATTTTCCGAAGTGCTCCAGTTCAGCACAGATCTGCTCTATTCTCCCTACTTACCCCATCCTCACACTGGCTAAGCTCTTCCCCTCCCTAAATACTCTCCAAACCTCCTCAGACAGTCTCAAATACTAGCGCAGCTCCTTCTGGCTGGGAGCTAACGCCACTTCCTTTTACTCACCTCTTTCCTCCTCCTCTCCAATGACTCCCACACCTCTCAGATCGATCCCCTCCTCCAGACAGCCCAGCCCAGAACCAGTCTTCATATTCTTGGTTATCATCCAGATTCCGGTCTCCAACAGTCACCTCAGTCCCGCCCATCCCTCAACTACCCAAATCCCACCCGCCTCTTCCCCTAAAATCTCAGCGCAATCCAGATAATTCTTCCCAGACACCAAAGCTATTTCCTTCCCAGCCTCTCTGGCTTGACTAAACTCTTCTCTCCCTCATCCTCCAATCTCTTCCCACCACTTCCCCCCTCAATTACCCACCTATCTCCGCCCCCTTCCACGCTTTCTTTACAGATTCCCCCAGAAGCCCATCCTCCCTAAGCGTACCCCCATTCCATTTCCTAGGATCAAATCTCAGTCCCTCCAACATGACCCTCCTCCCATCCACACCTCAGCCATAGTTAGTCCTCCCCCACCCCATCCCCTTCACACCTTCCAGCCTCAGGGCCCCCACCTGCCCGTTGGCCTTACCCAGCACGCGGAGCTCGGCGGCCGCGGTGGCAAAATCCCGGGTGCGCGGCTTGTTGGCGCGGCAGACATAGACGCCGGAGTGCTGGGGCTGTGCGCTGGCGATTAGAAGGTTGGTGCGGCCCAGGACAATAACGTCTGTGGAGATGGGCTTCCCATCTGGGGGAGGAGAAGGGGAAACACAGGAAGAGGGTGCTAGGGACTGCCCTTCCATTGATTCTCCAAAACTCAGGACCTCTCCAGGACCCTTGTTGTTGTTGTGTACCTTTGAGTCGCTTATACCCTGCTTTATCCTGTGCCAATCTTACTGTCTCCGAACCCCCATTACCCCAGTCACTGAATCAATCCATCTCCCCTAGGGAATGAATGTAAACCCACGGCTTAGGAATGGAATAGGTTTCTCCACTGGCTAGCCTAGGGCTTCTCACTGGTATCTCCATAGAACGGGAGGTAGTCCCTAACCAGAAGGGCTACTGTGACAGTGAAAGGAAATACACTAGGTGCTCAGCACAGAGTCAGTTACCACTGTCCGCATTACAATTGAATCCCTTCTCCCAGAAAGTTCTCAGGCCAGCAGGACTAGATGAAAGGATGACTGGTGAGATCTGAGCAGGAACCAAGATTTCAGTATATGCAGGGACTTAGAGACTTTAATTTTAATATTTAAAAAAAACCCAAACAAACCAAAAAACAAAACTCTTGCCATCAGGACATGAATGGAAAATCCAGGGAAGAAATACAAATGTATAAGAAACACAAAACAGGGCCAACTTCTCAAAACAACTATGAGATATCATCTCACCCCAATTAAGAATAGCAAAATTTAACTGAACAGCAAACAACAAATGCTGGCGAGGTTGTGGAGAAACTGGAACCTTACCTACTGTTGGTGGGAGTGTAAAATGGTGCGACCACCATGGAAAGCAGCATGGAGCTTTATCAAAAAGTTGCAAATAGAAATACCATTTGACCCAGGCGTTTTCTCAAAAAGTTGCAAACAGAAATATCATTTGACCCAGCAATTCTACTACTGGGAATATACCCCAAAGAAACCATAACCGCCACCCAAGCAGATATATGCACAACCATGTTTATTGTGGCTTTGTTCACAATAGCAAAGAGTTGGAAACAACCTAAGTGCCCATCAACAAATGAATAGAGAAGCTGTGGTATATTCACACAATGGACTACTATGCTACATTGCAAAACAAGAAACTCATGAAATACTATTCAAAATGGGTGACCTTGGAGGACATTATGCTGAGTGAAATATTTCAGTCACAAAAGGACAAATACTGCATAGTGCCACTGTTGTAAAACGGAACAGACATTGAGGTTTGGGGGAGACTAAGAAAGGTAGGATAAATTACACATACTGCATTGAAACAGATTAGGGAGAGAACTGTTTTAAAAGGATATGTTGTTGTTGTTATGTGCCGTCGAGTCGTTTCCGACTCATAGCGACCCTATGCACAACAGCCCTAAACCCTGCTCTATCCTGCGCCAACCACACTGCCTCTGACACACCCATCCCGGAAAAGGGTATATGATTAGGTATTATTGTCATGACAGAAGTCTAGAACGAAGGCTGCACAGTGGAGTGGACTTGAGGGGAGGGAGTGCAACAATTAAAGAATTTTTCTTTCACTTTTCAAAATGAAAGCTGCATAGTGGAGTGGACTTGGAGGGAGGGATTGTATAACAATGAAAGAATTTTTTACTTTTCAAAGAGAAGCAAACTTGAGGGGAGGTTGGGCAGGGAGAAAAGTGCAACAATGAATGAATGGAAATCCAAAGTCTCAGTAAAGTTTCATTAAAATTAATTAAAAAAACCCAAAAAACAAAAAAATAGTGCCAACCTCAAAGAAATGAAAGTACAGGTGCCATTTTTAATCTATCAGATCAGGAAAGTTTTAAAAAACCCAGTCTTTTCACCCACGTTTATTGCTGCATTATTCACAATAGCAAAGAAATGGAAGTAACCCAAGTATCCATCAACAAACGAATGGGTAAAGAAACTGGTACATTTACACAATGGAATATTATACAACATTGAAAAATTATGAACTCATAAAACATTACACATAGGTGAGCCTGGTGGACATTATGCTGAGTGTAATATCTCAATCACCAAAGGACAAATTCTGCCTAACACTGCTGTTGTAAAACAGGACTGAGATGAGGTGTTGGGGGGAGAATAAGGAAAGAGTGGATAGATAATGAACACTGCATTGGAACAGATGAGGGGAGAAACTGAAAGGAATATATGATTAGGCATTATATGTACGACAATAATTTGGAACAAAAGATGCATTGCAAGGTGGACTGGGGTGGGGGAAGGGAGGAGGAGGGAGGAAAATGTGCAATGAATGAATTTTCTTTAAAAGAATAATAAAAAAAAAACTAAAAAAAATCCCCAAAGCAGTAATTTGTAGTGCTATTGAAGGGGTAAGTGGTTAAGGAGTTCTCCTTGACCTTGAAATTGAACCCAGTGATTCCACTTATGAGAATCTGTCCCGCGCAATGATGAGAATCACAAAGAAGAAACTGCACTGGATTTGTGGACAACTGTTGTGGTTGTTTTTAGGTACCTTTGAGTAGACTATGACTCATAATGACTCAATAAACAACAGGTCTGAAACTTGTCCCATCCTGCCCCATCAATCTCTAATATGCTTGTGCCCAGTCAGCCTGTGTGAGTCCATTTCTTTGAGGATTTCCTCTTTTTCTAACCTTCCACCTTTTCCAGAAGTCTTTTTGCAAAATCTGATCCCTCTTGCCAACATAACAACTTTATTGTTGTTGTTGTGTACTGTCAAGTCAGAACTGACCTATAGCTGGCCCTCCAGTGGGTTTTCAGAGGGAGTAAATCACACGAGAAGTGACTGCCCATGTTTCTACTGTAGAGCAGCTACATGGATTTGAACTGCACGCCTTTGGATTGGCAGTGAAGTTCCTTACCACTGGGCCACCAGAGCTCCCTACATGACAACTAGGGAGGACTTAAAAAGCCAAAACCAAATGATGAGACACTATAACTATCCTTAAACAATCTCTGAAGATGCTTCAAAGATTGGAGAAATATTTATGATATACTGTTGGATGAAAATAGGATTTAGAACTGTAAATACAGTATGCTCTCAATTTTAAGGGGAAATGTGCAAATGCATTTTAAAAAGCTGGAAGAAAATATGTTCATATGTTAGCAATTTTTGTCTCTGAGTAGTTGGCTGTTTTCTGGCTACTGTTTTTTTCCTAGTTTTCTATGATGAACATGAATGACTTTTGCAGTCAGGAAGAAAATGTAAAAGTTGTCATTTCCTAACTTAATAAGTGCCTGGAAGGGGAACAGTGCCTGGAGTCAGAAATATGGTCCTTTTCTCCACTAGGGAGACTTAGTGGTGCAATGGGCAAAGCACTCATATGTTAACTGAAAGGTCATCAGTTCAAACTCCAGCCAGTAGCTCCACCAGAAGAAAATGTGGCAATCAGCCTTGGAAACACTAGGGGGCAGTTCTACACTGTCTATTTGGGGTCACTACTTTGGACATGTTGCAAGGAGGGACCAGTCCTTGAAGAGGGACATCATGCTTGGGAGGGTGGAGGGACAGCGCAGGAGGGGAAGGCCCTCTATGAGGTCAATTGATTCACTGATTGGGTTAATGGGGGTAGGTTTGTCAGAGACAGTGAGATTGGCACGGGATAGAGCGGAGTTTATGGCTGTTGTCGCAGGCAACTCGACAGCACATAACAACAACAACATGACAGAATCAACCTGTTTAATCTGTATGCTGAGCAAATAATTTCAACATAATGCCCAGAAGCTGCAAAAAATCAAAGAATACAGCCTTAATCATAGATTACATCAAGAAAACAAAAATCCTCACCACTGGATAAATAGGCAACATCAAGATAAGACGAAAAAAAGATCGAGGTTGTCAACAATTTCATCTGCTTGGACTCACAACACCCATAGCACCAGCAGTCAGGAGATCAAAAGACATGTTACACAGGGAAAATCTGTTGTCACCTCTCCAAGGTGCTAGGGAGCAATGATGTCAGTTTAAAGATTAAGGTCCACCTGATCCAAGCCATGATCTTTTCAATTACTTGCTATGTATGCATTTAAAAATTAGACAATGACTAAGGATGACAGAAGAAGAACCTACAAAGAATTGAGTTGTGACGCTGAAGAACTGTATTGAGTACCCCACAGATTGCCAAAAGAACAAAACAAATGTCTTTGAGAAAATTCAACCAGGGTGCTTCTTAGAAGCAAGAATGGAGAAACTTCATCTCACATACTTTGTTTGGGTTTGTTGTCAGAGGGGGCCAGTCCTTGGAAAGGATGCTTGTAAAGGTGGAGAATCAGAGAAAGAGAGGAAAAGCCTCAACAAGATGGATTAACACAGTGACTTGAACAATGGGCTCAAGAAGATCAGAGATGAGGAGGCTGGCTCACGATAGGACAAGGTTCAGATCTGTTGTTCATAGGGTTACTATGAGTCTTAGTTGACTTAACTGCACCAAACAACAGCACACGTCAGAATCAACTCTGTGGCCATGGATTTGATCCAAATGGGCTGTTTACAGAAGCTCTCCTAAGGAGTTCACAGGATCTCAACTGTCAGAATTGTCTGGGAGAGCAATTCTCAAATCTTTATGGTGCACACAAACCCCAGAATCCCTGGGGATCTGGTGAAGATGCAGACTTTGCATTTCTAACTAGAACCCTAGTGGCAGGTCCCAAGGACCCACTTTCAGCAGCAAAGACCTAAAGTAGTTGCTTCAAATTGTGATTCCTAGGTCACAACTTCCCAGGGGTGAAGAGAGTGAGCCTGACGTTTTAACAAGTTCCCAGGTGATTCATATGCAGTCTGTATTCGAGAAACATTGATTGATATTAGGACTTTTGTGTGATGCTGTAGGGTTACTCCAATGACAGCATGAAGGCCCCGCTGGCGCCTGAGATCCCACTAAGTAGGCAAATCTCAAGTCTCACGACACGATGCAGGTCAGGGAGGCATCTGTTCCATCAGCTATTATGTGGTTGTAGGTGTTTAGTTTATTATTTTTCTTTAAACTATATATTCATAGGAAGCATAGGTAGGTTAGTCCATAGAAAGTTTTGCTGCCAGCCCAAAAGGCAGCACCTCTCAGGCAGTTCAAATCCACTAGTCGCAACTGGGGAGAAAGATGGGTAATCTCCTCCTGCGAGACTGATCCTCTTTTGAATACATCCTTTCTTGAATGGGCGCTGTTGTTGGGTACTTTAAAGTCAGAACTGACCTATAGCTGGCCCTTCAGAGGATTTTCAGAGGCAGTTAATCGCCTGGGAGGAGACCGGCCATCCTTTTCCCATTCAGACTGCATGTGTTCGGGATCACAGAGCAGTTTCTTGCCACTAGGTAGGCCATCGTGTGTGTTAGAGACATAAAAACGAGGCCATGAAGGGGTGGTAGAATGATCCAAAGAAGAAAGGTACAGAGAATTGGGTTCAAAACTTGGTTTTTCCACCAGATGCTTTGCTGGAGAAGGAGGAACAATCTCCTCCTGTACCAGTCAGATCTGATTTGACGGTACACCAAAAAAAAAATAAAATAAAAAATAATTAAAAAAAAACCAACTTGGTTTTGCCATTGTTGTTGTTAGGTGCTGTCAAGTGGAAAATGACCCATAGTGACTCTATGAACAGATCTGAACCCTGTCTTATCCTGTGCCATCCTCACACTTCCTGGCATATGAGAGCCCACTGCAGCAGTGGCTGTCAGTCCACCTGGGTGAGGGTCTTCCTCTCCTTTGCCTACCCTCCACCTTCCCAAGCATGACGTCCCTCTCCAATGAATAAGCCCTCCTAGCAACATGCCTGGAGTATGTGAGACAAAGCTTTAATATCTTTGCCTCCAAGGAGCACTCTGGCTGCACCTTCTCCAAGACATAACTGTTTGTTCTTCTGGCAATTCATGGGATATTCAGTACTCTTCTCTAAAACCAAAGTTCAAAAGCATTGATTATTCTTCTATCCTCCTTACTCATTGTCTACGGTTGAACACGGTTTTGCCATTAACTAGGGTAAAATCCAAAAAATGTGATGCTATCAAGTTAATTCCAACTCAGGGCAACCCCGTGTGTAACAGCGTGGCATTGCTCCACAGAGTTATCTCAGCTGTAATCTCCATGGTTTCAGATCTCCAGGCTTGCTTTCCCATCATCACTAAGCAGGTTTGAACCACCAACCTTTAGGTTAAGATTCAAGCACAAACCACTCGCACCACCTAGGGATCTTATCTTGAAACAAGTCACCCCTCACTGACAGATGGAAACAGATGTAGTCCTTGGCTTCCTTCCTCACAGGACTGGAGGGAAAGGGTGCCAGAAACATAATAGGCTCTTCTCTTGGGCTCTGGCTCTGTCACCTGTCTCTCTGAACTTCAGTTTCCTTATTTGAGAGCAATCGTCCTGACCCCTTGCAATCCTCCAAGGGCTCTGAGCGGAGAACTGGTGTGAACATGCTCAGTGACTGCAAAGTGGCACCGGGCCCAGCGCTCTCGTTACTCTGATAGCATCTCCAGTAACTCAGTCCCACTTGGCACTTATCACTCGCGGCCTGATACTGTCAAACCTCTCTTCATGAGTGTACATCTTATCTTTCTCGCCCATGCTAGGGGTTCATGGGGTCTGGTGTGCACTGCTCTTATCTATGCATTTTGTTCACTGGACCCAGCACCGTGCCAGACCCACAAAGACAGAGCATGCTGGGGTCAGCCACAGGGACTGCCAGCTTTGAGGTTAAACAGAGCAGCACCGAGTCCTAGTTCCACTTGGTTTGATATCTGTGCCACATGCTCCCAGCTCTGAACCACTCGCACTGTTGTGAGGAATGGAAATAAGTTAGGTGGACCACCTAGCACAGTGCCTGTCCTAATGTTACTGTGTGCTGTAGAGTTGGAATCCCCTCATAGCTAATCCTCCAGTGGGTTTTCCGAGGCCGTAAATCACACAGGAGGGGATCACCCATCCTTCTCCTGTGGAGCAGCTGGTGGATTCAAATCACCTGGTTTTTTATTAGCAGAACAGCTTGTTACCACTATGCCACAGAACTCCCTTCCTGCTCTGTTTAAGGTCAGCAATGAATTAATAAGTGATAGACTCCAGCTGCTCTGTAGAAGGAAAAAGGCCACATAGATGTGATGATCAAATTTGACCCCAGGTTGCCCCTGATCTTCTAGTCACACTCAACCCTGGGAAGACAGGTCTTGGCAAATCAGCAGGTCATGTTCACCAGTGTGGTCCCCCTAGTTTTGTTGTGTACCGTTGAGTTAGAACTGACCCATAGCTGACCCTCTGGCGGGTTTTCAGAGGCAGTTAATCGCACAGGAGGAGATTGCCCATCCTGCTCCTGTGGAGCAGCTGGTGGATTTGAACTGTGTTCCTTCGGGATTGCAGCACAGCTTCTTGCCACTAGGCCAACAGAGTTTCCTATATAACTCCTTGATAACTTTGTAACTTCCCTTTCTAACTCTCTAACCTGAGATGCCACATCCTCCTCTCGTTTGTCCTCCCGCCTTCTGGCCCTTCACTCACCCTGTCGGACCCAGGACACAAAAGGGGTGGGATCAGCCGAGGCCACACACTCCATCACCACGCTGTGACCAGAGACCACCGTGGTGTTCTCCGGGGCCGCCACGATGACCACATCCTGCTCCCTGTTGGATGTCAGGAACCCTGGAGAGAGGGCAGGCCAGCAGGAAGCCTTATCATGAGGTGTCTTCACATGCAACATCTCACCTGGTGCTCACTGTCACCTACTGAGGCAGGTGGGCAAAGGGCGGCAATGGAAGATTTGACACAATTCAACAAACGAGGAAAGTGAGACTCAGAGTCACATAGCCACATAGCTCAGCAGAGCTAGGACTGGAACTCAGAGCCCTTTCTCTTGGAATAGCTTGAAGTCCAGTTTAGTATCAAGAGAAATACCGGGCGACCACACCTGTCCCCATTTTTCCATCCCAGATCTAACTGTCATCAGGGTGATGCTTGGCGCCCTGGGCTTGCAGGCAACAGCCACAATTTCAGTATAGATCATAGTTGCAGTCCTGTCACTAATGTGCTATGTGGCTGTGGACAAGTCCCTTCCTCAGAAGTTCTCCCATTCCCAAGAGGGAAATATGGAAGGTGGGCTTGGACTCAGATTTCTGGCGGCTTGCAGCTCTTGGAGCCCAGACTCTCCGCCCAAGTTCTCAGTTTGAAGAAGGGCCCCTCGGGGCAGCATGGGAATACAGTATTTGTCCAGCAGGTGGCAGTAGAGTCCTCCAGGCATGGAAAGGCCCCACGAAAGCCTGCTAAGTGCCAACCGGCTGTGAATAAAAGACCGCAGTGTAGGTGCAGGGAGGGCGATGAGGGGCCCTTCTGGAGGACTGAGGTAAGATCTGTTGAACATCTGCTAGATGCCGTATATTTTATACTCTTAACCTCACAACCACTCCGGAGCTGGACATTTGATAACCAGCCCAGGGTTGCACAGATGGTGAGCAGAGAAGCCAGGATTCAAACCAGGTCTTTCTGACCCCAAAGCCTGTGCCTTTTCTACTGCATCACATGGAACAGGAGCTTTTCAGTGAAATGGAAAAAGGAACTGAGCTGTGGGACCCCAGGTGCACTGCGCAGTATGAAACTAGGGGGTTATTCCCCAGCACCTGAGGCTTCAGGGCAGGGGCACGTCTTTCAGATACCTTCTCCCCCACTTCTGTCCCAGCTGCCAATGTCCAACCCCAAGGGAACAGAGACTGTCAGCAAGGGAGAAGCCCCTGGCCAGGATCCTGGGACTCAGGCCCCACCCCATTCTATTCCTGCCCTGCTGGGTCGCACTTGTCCCACTGGGCTTCACGGCCTCCTCTGTCCAGTGGAATGGATACCCTTCATCTAATTCATCTCCAGTGGCATTGATAGCCCTTGAACTATTTGAAGGCAAGGTCTAGACCGCTTGAGAGTCAGCTCTGAAGTGATTGATTCCAGAAAGGCCTAGGACCCACTTACCTCTGGGTACCACGCTGAGAACAGCCTCCTGGCTGAGGCGCTGGCCAGCCGAGTTTGTGGCCAGGCAGCGGTAGGAGCCCGTGTCACTCTCCTGAACGTCCAGGATCTGCAGGACGCCATTGGGAAGGGTGATGAGCCTTGGGAAGGAGAAGAGGGAGGCTGTGTGGTTATGGGGTCCTGAGGGTGGGGGGAGGGGTGGTGGTGGTGGTGGTGTCTCTCTCTCTGGCTCTAGTCAGATATACCTACAGTGTTTCTGCTTCAAGCTTCTCTCATAATAAAAGAGTTGCAAAGTAAAACTACAAAACATCACTTTTCACCTATCAGATCAGAGAGGCAAAGGTCAGATGGTTCAGTAACGCTGAACTGTGGATAAAAGGAGAGAGGAAAAGGCCCCCTTCCCTGCTTTTTTGGCAGCCAAGGCAATTGAGGTTGCTAAAATCTAAAAAAGACCAAAACTTGCACCCTATAAAGGATGCGTTTAAGTTGCGTGTGTTGTTGTTATGTGCTGTCTGGTTGCCTGTGACTCTTAGGCACTCTATGTACAACAGCTCTGAACTCTGCTCTATCCTGAGCCAACCTTATTGTCTCTGACACACCTAACCCCATGACCCCAGTCACTGAGTCCAAGTATAGGTTTCACATAAGCACAATCATGTATTCTGGGATTCCTATTTTTTTTTTTTTAGAATTAACCAACATTTGTTATTATCCACACAGTCAAATGCCTTTGCACAGTCAATGAAACACAGATAGACATTCCTCTGGTACTTTCTGCTCTCAGCCAAGGTCCATCTAACATTAGCTATAATATTCCTAGTACCACGACCCCTTCTAAACTCAGCCTGTACATCTGGCAGTTCTCTGTTGATGTGCTATCCCAGTCAGTTTTGGATAATGTTCAGCAGAATCTTGCTTGGATGTGCTTATTAATGTTGTTGTTGTTGTTAAGTGCTGTCAAGTCATAGGCGACTCATAGTGACCCTATGAAGGAAAGTCCTCAACACTTGTGTGACTTTCATCCTCTCTCCAGGTTCATAGGGTTTCTAGAGGCAAGCTATTGCAGAAGTGGATGCCATTCCTGCTTTCAAGCTTGTTTTAATAGGTGCACTCCACCAAACACTGTTCACCATGGGTAACCATTAATGCATTTGACACATCAGTGTCACAGTGTTCAGCTTCACAGCAACAAGTTACCACTGTACAGCAAGTGGACACACCAGGGCTATACAACCTACAAGAATGTTTGAACAAAAACAATGAAAAACAGGCCTGAGGGCCGCAGATTAAAAATCACCCAGCTTTGGCTTGGTAGCATTGCTTTCTGTCCACTAGGCCATCGGACCACTCTCTATGTTGATGTTATTGTTGTTAAGTGCCATTGAGTCATAGGCGACTCATAGCGACCCTATGAAGGAAAGTCCTCAAGATAAGTGTGGAGGACTTATCAATGATATTGTTTGATAATTTCCACACTCTGTTGGGTCACATTTCTTTGGAATGGAAAAAAATATGGATCTCTTCCAGGTGGTTATCCTCCAGATTTCTTGCATATATGGTTGTTGTTGTTGTTATTGTTATGTGCTCTCGAGTTGCCTGTGACTCATAGCGACTCATACGATAGTCCTAAGCCCAGCTCTATCCCTTGCCAATATTATTGTCTCTGACACTCCTAGCCCCATTACCCCAGTGACAGTTGCGTGTGTTGTTGTTATTTGCTGTCTGGTTGCCTGTGACTCTTAGGCACTCTTTGTACAACAGCTCTGAACCCTGCTCTATCCTGAGCCAACCTTATTGTCTCTGACACACCTACCCCCATTACCCCAGTCACTGAGTCACTGATGGATTGACAGAATCAAAGCATCTCATCAAAGGTCTTTCTCTTCTGTGCTGTCTCTCCAACCTCCCAAGCATGACGTCCCTCTCCAAGGACTGATCCCACCTCTCAACATGTTTAAAGTAGGTCAGATGAAGTTTCAGAATCCTTGCCTCCAAGGAGCAGCCTGGATTCACCCTCTCCAGGACTTTGTTCTCCTAGCATATGTGGTTACAAAAAGAAATATTAAAGAGAAAAACAAACAGCAATAACAACTTTTTTTTAAAAGAAAGCACCTCAAAACAAAAGTACCTTTTAACCTAGAAATAGCACCACAAGATACTTTTACTCATGTGTACAAAAACCTGGTGAAAGACCCCTCACTTCTGCATGTACATAGCCACAAAAGACTATAAACAACCTGAGTGTCCACGTGCAGGGAAGGTACTGGCTAAATCCGTTTGGGTACATTCACACAATGGAATGCTCAGCAGCTGTTAAAACTAGGTGTGTAGAGAAATTGGAACCCTCATCCATCGCTGGTAGGACAATTAAAATGGTGCCGTCACTGTGGAAAACAGGTTAGCTGTCCTCTGAAGGTTAAGCACAGAATTATCATCCCTTTGTCTCTCTTATTGCCATCAAGAGCTGGGCCTCCATTGGGTTTCTGAGGCTGTAAACTGCATGAGAAGAGATTGCCTTCCTTCCATCTTTTCCATAGAAGTATCCTTTGGGCCAGCAGCGCAGCTCTCTATGGCCTAGGCCACCAGAGCTTCCTTTAGCATCACCATATCACCTGGAAACTCCACTCCTAGGTATGGATCCAGAAAAACCAGAACTGCCACCCAAGCAGATATATGCACACACATGTTTATTGCGGCTTTGTTCACAATAGCAAAGATTTGGAAACAACCCAAGTGCCCATCAACAAACAGATGGATAGAGAAGCTGTGGTATATTCACACAACGGAATACTATGCTACATTGAAAAATAAAGAACTCATGAAATATTATACAAAATGGGTGACCCTGGAGGACATTATGCTGAGTGAAACATCTTGGTCACAAAAGGACAAATACTACATAATGCCACTATTGTAAAACAGGACTGACATCGGGGTTGGGGGGAAAGTAAGAAAAGAAAGGATAAATAATGTATACTGTATTGAAACAGATGAGGGAGAGAACTGTTTAAAAGGGATATATGATAGGTATTATTGTCATGACAGGAGTCCAGAATGAAAGCTGCACAGTAGAGCAGACTTGGGAGGAGGGATTGTATAACAATGTAAGAATTTACTTTTCAAAAAGAGAGAACTAGGGGAGATGGGTGGGCAGGGAGGAAAGTGTGCAACAATGGAAATCCAAAGTCTAAGATTTCATTAAAATTAATTTTTAAAAATACCACATAATGAGAGAGATTGTAGAGTATTAAACTGAGTGAACAATCAGATTGAGTGAATAATTCAATCTCATAAGGACAAATACCGTATAAGATCATTATTGTACAAACAAGGATAACTAGTAAGATGTGTATGAAGGCCCAAGGAGGGAAGGGGACTGAGCCATATGGCTGAAACTGGGTGGGGGGAATTCACAGGATAACAGAGTTTGATAGGCCAAGGAAAAGAGGTGAAAGAATTGGGAATAATCCACTGGGGACCTGAAAAGATGGGGCAGTGGTAGTCACAGATCAATGGTGGTTAATTTTATAAAACACAATGTATAGGAATGATTGTATGAAATAAAATGTGAATGAAGAAATGTGTGAGTGCAATGTATATGAATTTTGTATGGGACCAATAAAAACAAATGATTTTTTAAAAATTGTTTTGTGTTTCCAAGAGGCGCACGGTTCAAATCCACCAGATGCTCTGCTGGAGAAGGAGGGGCAATTGCCTCCTGTACCAGTCAGATCCGATTTGACGGTACACACACACACACACACACACACACACACACACACAATAATAATAAAATAAATTGTTTTGTGTAGAAAATTGTGTGTGGCATGCATACACACTTGGTTGTGAACATACTAAATGCCCCTGGTAACCAGTGGTCTCTGCCAAGAACCTGGGCTTTTGGACTCCGAGGGTGGGGAGAAGATTTGCTTTTTACCACATACCCTTCTGTACAGTTTGGATTTTTTCTATTCCCTGTCTATATAATATCTTTCATATGACCAAATAAGTCTCTTCTACCCGCACACTCTCAGTTTGAACTTCAAAACAAGGTCAAGACACATAGACCAGTGGAACAGAATCGAGAACTTGGAAATCAACCCATCTATCTATGATCAACTGATATTCAACAAGGAAACAAAACCTATCAAGTGGGGAAACAACAAACTCTTCAACAAACGGTGCTAGAAAAACTGGACTATTACTTACGGAAAGCTAAAGCAGGACGCACACCTCTCACCACACACAAAACCAACTGCAGGTGGAGCAGAGACCTAGGGGTAAAGCCCTAAACCATAAAGATCATATGAGACAGAGCAAGACTAAGCTTAGAAAGCCTAGCCCATGGTATTAAAAGACTGATAAATACAGCCAGAAACACATAACATGGAAAGGATAAAACTGATGCATGCAACCTTTTAAAGATTAAAATCCCTATACATCAAAAACCTTTTCCAAAAGGGTGAAAAGAAAACCTACCGACTGGGGAAAAACATTGGGTAATACTATCCCAAACAACAGTCTCATAACAAAAGTTTACAGAATCCTACAGGGATTCCACAGGGAAAAATCCACAGCACAAAAACTGATAACTGATAATAAGACTGATAACAAAATGGGCAAAAGACTTGGAAAGACTCTTCACAGAGGAAGATATTTTATGGCCAACAGACATATGAAGAAATGCTCAAAATCACTAGCAATAAGAGAGATGCAAATCAAAACTTCAATCAGATACCATCCCACCATAATAGCAGTGGCAAAGTTTAACAGGACAGCATGCAATAAATGTTGGAGAGGATGTGGAGAGATAGGAACTCTTATACACTGTTGGTGGGACTGTAAAATGACACAACCATTCTGGAAAGCAGTTTGGTGTTTCCTCAAAAATCTGAACATAGAAATTCCTATAACTCAGCTATTCTACTGCTTGAAATATACACCGAGAAAATTAGAAATGAGACACAGATGGAGGTTTGTACACCAATGTTTACAGCAGCATTATTAACAATCACAAGAACATGGAAACAGCCTATATGTCCAACCATAGTCGAATGGATTGAGAAATTGTGGTATGTTCACATGATGGAATACTATGAAACACTCAGGAACAACAATTCCAAAAATTATTACATAACTT